TATTTTTCAACATTTAAAAAAATCTCTACAAATAGACACAAATTAAATTTTGAGTCCAATAGTGTAATAAAATAGGATTCTGAATTTTCAATTCCATCCTTGATAGGATCAAAGTGGATTTAAGAAAAGCCTAATAGCTTAGGAACCTATTTAGACACAAAATTGAAAGTTCAAGTTCCTTTGATAACGTTTTGTTTTTTGTTATTGTTTCTTCATTTTTAATAAAGAAAAAAGAATTACTTGACCACAACATCCATGAATTCAAGTATGGTAAAAAAATCTTTTTTATTTATGTTTTGGAACGAGTTGGAAATGTGAACAAGAATAAAAAAACTTATTTTAGTTGTTTTCGAAATTTCTATAAAATTTGAGAATGTTTTCAAAAAAGAAGAAACAAGAAACATAATTAATTGCAAAATGCTTAGATTTCTTAAGAAAATTAGAAACGACAAACAATAAACGGGAACGTTACCAAACTAGCTCTCAACAACCTATTACACTTTTAAAAGTGAGAAACGTCTCATATTAAACACAAAATTAAATCATTTATATGTTCCCACATACAACCTAAAAATTTAGGATTAAACTTGTAATTAAAAGAAAAAGTGAAAAATGTAGGAAAAATTTAGGCATTAGGCATTAGTGGGTTTTTTAGAGTAGAAATGGTTTTTCAGATCAGATGCATGTACGAGGTGTTCACATCATTTCATAGTCATCTGTTAAATCCAACGGTGCCGATCTGCAGAATTCATAGAGAGGGAAAGAAAGATAGAGAGAGAACATTTCTGGAAGTGAAAACCTTTTTATTTTTTATTATTTTTTATTTTTATTTTTTTGTCTTTTTACACCCTCGCCTTTCCAATTAATCCCTTTATAGACCCACCTCCTCCACACCCTCATTATTCTCACTCATCTCTCTCTCTCAAAGTTTCAGTTTTAGGGTTTGAAAAGAGATCATCTGAAGGAGGACTGGAAGGCGTCTGTTTTGTTTTGAGGGGAATGTTGTCTGGCTCGAGGACACTTCAATTTCTTCGTCTCGAACGTCGTCGTCGTCGCGATCTCGGTCTCGGTCTCGATCGCTTAGTGTCGTCGGACCAGGCTTCATTCCCCCCAATTAATTCAACCTATGGCGTCGCCGTCCACACACACTCACAAAGGTTTGCCCTATTTCTATCTATTTTTCACTTCATTTATTTATTTATTTCCGTTTTTGGTAATGGATTTAGTGTAAAATGTTTTCAAAGTTATTAATTAAGAAGGTTGTGCAGTGCAGATTGGTGTAATGATGAAGCTTTTTGACTTCTCTTTGGCTCCCAAAAAGTAGTTTTTTTTCTTTTTTATTTTTTCATCATTGCCTCTTTTATCTCTCGTCTTCTTCTTCTTCTTATGATCTTGTAATCATGTATTGTCTTTTCTCCTTCATCATTAGGCCTTATTTTCATTTTTTATTTTATTTTATTTTATTTTTTCCCTCTCATCTATATTGTTTCTCAGATCTCTCCCTAATTCTCTCTGTCTCTGTCTCTCTATCTTCTTGCATGTCTTGGCGTTGATAGCTTTGATTAGGTCAATCAAAATAAAGGAAAAAGATGATGGGACTTGTTGCAAATTATAATTATGGTGATCAAGTTTATGGATTTTTTTTTTCTTTTCCCCTTTTGTTTTTGCCCTTGGTTTTACTCTTCTTTAATTAACAAATTACAAAACATAGATTACGTTTCCAAGCCCCTTATTGGTCATACTTTCAAATATTAGGGCTTTCTGATCTTGCAAGCATGGAATTTACAGGATGGGTGTGTTGATTTAAATCTATTCTAAAAACAATAAATATATTATAACCTTTCGTTGGATCTTTTTCCCAAATCTGAAAAAGAAGTTAATTACTATGACCCAGAAATTTAAGGGGATATAGGTTTTAAGGTAAGTTTTAGTTTTTTTTCTTTTCTTTTTAATTTATATTAACAATTGCATTTTTCATATGTAAGCTCCAATATTAGCACAAGATCTGGCATGGAGACTACTTGGTATATATGAAATATGGAGATAAAATAATGTTATAGATGTTTGCATCCACAGTTTTTTTTTTTCTAGTTCTATATTAAATTGTTATTAGATTAAATAAAACTCAACAAATTTGTAAATTAAGGTGGCTATTATCTTATTTTTATATATTCTGCACACTTTAAGTTCAAAATGTACATTGTAAAAAGAAAAAAAAATCAGTGAAGTAGAACATGAAAACTTGTTGCTTTGCTTGTCAGTAGGAAAACTTGTATATCAGACAGAAGGTTAATTAGGAGATTAATTTTACAGCCAAAAGCCAGAAATAAACATTTTGGATCAAACTTCATATACTTTAAACTCAATGTTAGGAAAATAATATTATGTTTAAAAAAAATTGGAAAAAATACTTGAGGTTTTATCTATTCATTTTATTCTATTAAGTTAGTTAACAATATTGTTTTTGAATGGGTTTCTTTACAAAGTTAGATCTCTTTGAAGTAATTGCTTAATTTTGTTTTTAGTATTGGAGTGGAGAGCGATCTTCTGGTTGGACATAGATATCTTAACCCACTAAACTATGCCAAGATTGAAAAGCAATTGCTTAATTGAAAGTTAATATCAATGCTTAATTTATTTCCTTTTAACTTAAAAGGAGGTCAAAATGTTCCTTTTTAAATGGTTTTGTTTGAAATCTTAGTAATATTTAAAATAATTTTGCCATATTTGTATTTGTATCTTACACAAGCCTTTCTACTCCAATAACCAGCTAAGAGTACATCTAGAATATGATGGGCAAGGCTTACAAATTCTCACTTACCTTTCTCTATAATTGTACTATTGGGAAATTAATGTAAAGAGAGATTTTTTCGAGCTTAGATAGAAAGTTCTTTTGATTTATGTTTTAATTTAATAAATTTGGGTTGACTTTTTTGTGAAGCACCTCTGAGAACAGGGTGTAGTAAATAAGGGTGCATTTGAGAGTGATTTTGGCACGACTAAAATCACTTTTGCCATTGTCAAACTCACTTCCCTCCCCATTGATCATGTTTCACAAAATAGAAAATTCATTTTAGGAAAACTTAAAATTACTTTAAATTGATTTTTAAGGTATCACTTGAATGGTAATTTTAGAAAATCAATTATATTTAGATCTTTTTTTTCAAAATCACTAATTCTACCATCACTACTTCCAAACACACCCTAAGAACTCTTTTTGGAATCACTTTGTATTTCTAAGTAGTTTTATAATTTTTAAAATTACTTTTCATTATGTAATTCAAATCATATTTTAAAAAGTGCTTTTCTTTAAATTAAAACACATTTTACCCTTCAAAAGCTATATTAAAATTTTCCTGAATATAGTCTCTTAAAAAGAGGAGTATGTGTGAAGAATCCATCATCTAAAGATTTTAGCTAAGAAAAAGAATGTGAGTTCTTTTTATTTCTTAGCATAAATCGTGGATTGTGCGTTGCTATTATGGGGCGGATGTATGAAGGGACCAAGGGCACTTACCCTAGAATTTGGATAAATATAATATATTGTATTAAAATAGGTGGTAAGTTTTATCAAATCTTACCTCCAACCAAATTGAAACTAATGTTAGATCAGTGTTATAACTTGTTATTATTTATTTAATTTTCAACCCATTAATGTAAAACGAAAATAATGTTAAAAAACTAAAAAAAAAAAACTCACAAAGTTAATGAAGATCAAGTTTTGCACGAATTTAATAATGCTCAAAATAAACAATAAAATAAATTTACCAAAATTTATAAATTTAAAAAATAACCCAGCTCTACTGTAATCTAATGAAATTAAAACTTTTATGTAAAAATTAATATGCCTGAACAAGTTAAGGGTTGAATTTGATCCATTCCCATTATATTTATATGTGCTCCTGATGTAAGTTTATGGATCCACCACTGGTTATTAATCTCTGGGTTTTTGTCTCCCTCTTAATTTTTTTTTATTTGAGTATAACATGTGTGGGGATTCGAAGTCTCAATCTCTTGATTTGAGGTATGTGTCAATTATCGGTCAGTTATACTCGTTTTGGCCCCTCTTAAATTTGTTTTTTTTGCCTATTGTTACAAGAATTTGATTAAATTTATCGTTTGACCTCACTGTTGTAACCAAAAAGTTAAATTTATATTTGTAATTGATTTTTTTTAATTTTAAATTTTTGATTTTGTTGTTATTGTTGTAAAACTTCCAATAATATTGCCAATTGAGGTCCTTTGACTCAATCACATTAATAAAATAATATATCTGTAAACATTTTGGCACCTACTTGGCTACTCTTACAAAATAAACATACCGCGGGATTAAAAAAAAAAAACTAATATGATAGCTGAGAAAAGTTTTTTTTTTTAATATTTTTTCAATATATATATATATATTTTTTTGTTTTTAAATTTTGTTTAAATTTGAATGGTTTACGTCTAATTTTTTTCGAAGTCTTGGTCCCGAAACAATTCAAATATTTCTTTAGGATAATTAAATGTTATATTTTAATTTTTTAGAACCCCATAATGACCATATACCTTAGGAATTAATTCCTATGTGTTTGTTGGCACTAAATATTGTAGGGTCAGACGGTTGTCCCGTGAGATTAGTTGAATTGCGCGTAAGCTAATCTGGAGACTCATGGATATAAAAAAATAATAATAATAATACTAATTAATTTTTAGATCATATAGCAGTCTATTCTTAAAGTTTACATAACATACTATTTTAACCCTTATTGTTAAGTTTTTCATTAATAATTTAAACAGAAACCTAATAACATTTGAAATCTAGCATTTAACGATTGTACAATACTTCAAATATTTGTCCCAAGATGAATGACTCAAATATATGCCCACTATACAATTGTAACATATCCAAACGAACGCTTTAAGCAAAAATTGATATTGTTTAAATTATGGCTGACACAACACCATGCGAAGCACTACTCGAGAACCTGTAAAAAAGTTATTAAGAAAGAAGCGTATAATTTCAATAGGAAACAAATAAGTTTTATAACTCCAAAAGATAAAAAAGAAGGTCAAAAAATACATTTTGTTCTTGTTATTTTGCTATATTAACGAGTTAGTCTCCGGACTTAGTTTGTTACAATTTAATCCATGTACTTTCAAAGCGGGGGTCGTGTTTTTGGATAGTTCGGTCCTTGCCTCGTCCTGGTACTGGAGGGAAATTCTAGGAGTTCGAGATGCTTTTTGACCCCTGGTTAGAGTCTCTGTTGGGGATGATCAGCGTTGTTTTGTGTGGCATGATGTCTTGCTCCTAGGGGGCCTATTTTCCCGAGATTTGGGAATCGGCTTATTTATGATGCTGCAAGTTCTTCAAAGGCTACGATATCTGATTTCCTCTTTATTAATGGCTCTTCTTGGGTTTATGTGGATCTTCTTGAGCTTTTACTTGAGGTGGCTACTGTGCAGGCCTTGGTCGACAGAAATTATGTGCCAGTCTGGGTTGCTGTAGCTTCGGGCACCTTCTCGGCGCGTTGGGTGTTTTACAACTATCTCAGCACCCTATTCCTTGCGGCTTCATTGCTGTGGTTTAGGGGCAACATCCCTAAGCATTCTTTCATCGCTTGGTTGGCTGTGCAAGATCGTCTTTCCACGCAGGATCGATTGCATTAGTGGGATCCATCGATTCTGTTCAGGGTGAAATCATCACGCCACGTGGAGGACATAAATGTGTAGACCTGGACACATCTGGGTTTCAGGTCCACCTCGAACCTGTCCAAGGTCAAGTAATTAACAAAATATTGATCACGTCTACCATCTCAGTGTCCGACCTACCACAAGGTCCGACCAAGTATATATCTAGGACATGTCCGACCTGACCTTCGACATCAATAACCACCTGTCGGAAGGCCTGTCGAATCCCCAACCTATAAATAGATGACACCATTTCTATTGATAAGTATCGAATTCTATCTCTGATGGAAAATATACATACATGCGCAGCGGAAGTGAGCAAGGATCGAAATAACAATCTAGATGCATAATACAACTTAGGATTAAACATGCATGATCATACATACCTTTGTAGAGAAAGGTAGAGAAAAATACATACGTTTGTAGCTTTTCAAATTTCATTAAATAGCTCCAATGAGGACCACCAAGAGATCTTCCTAGCTATTCTCAAGGCTTGGAATAGAGTGGTGGGACTCTTTTTAGAGAAGGAAAAATTGAGAGAAATATGGAGCTAAAGGGAATTATGTAAGCTTTTTGAAAAACATCAAATGACCAAAGGTTCCAAAGATTTTTCAATGTTTGAACAAAGGCCTTCTTAAATAGGCAAATTACATGCAACTCTTGCATGTCAAAGTTCACCAAAAGCTTACAACACATATTCCACTCATGCATGACATGAATAAGTGTCAAAATGCATGTCTAAGTTCACCAAAAACTTACAACACACATTTCACTCATGCATGCCATGGTTAAGTGTCAAAAAGTGAATTTTTTGAGATTATTTAAATGTTCCACTCAACAAGTTAGTGGAATTTTCCACCAACTTGGTTAAAAATATTATTTTAATCTTCTTAGTCAACCTTTGACTTTCTCTAGTCAAAGTCAACTATTTGACTTTTTCCGAAATCCGACTGTTTGACAAAATCAATGCTTCCGATTATGAATCCGCATTCATAATTTTAATATTTAAATCATATTTAAATATTTTGACCAAATTTCTCAATTGATATCATATATCAATTACTTATCATATCTCATATGATTAACCTAATTCGTATAATTCGAATTATTCCTTTAAATTATTCCAAGTTTATTCCTATATGAGCTAGTCAGGGGACCTTATGGACCTATAGATCATGAGCTCCAATGATCCAAGATTAACCGATTAAACTCTTTAACCTAGTTAACCAACATTCGTTAACTACTAGGTCACTAAAGCTCGTAGCTACACTCTCCTCACTGTAGATATATTATGTCCATTTGATATAACCATGATTGGTAAGTCGACCCTTCACAGGTTGTTCATAATTATAGCTGGGTCAAAATACCGCTTTACCCCTGTAATTACCTCTTGTTCCTTAAGTCCCACTAATCCTCTAATGAACAACGATTTGTAGTCCAACTATCAAATCAAAAAATCATCTCAAACCTTTTGACGAGGGTGGCACCAATTGTTCAAGACCTGGATTCAGCCCTTAAGAGAACAACCTTTCTACTATCCTAAAATTGGGTAGAAGTGAATTCCTTCTTGCACCCTATGTCCCTAGCTATGTACCTGGTCTTATCCCTGAAATGGGAGGCTTATTGAGCCAGTGCTGTTGAGCTGCTCTCACCCATGCACATCTAAGGATAATCCCGAGTAAACAGAAGTTCATAGTTAGCTCAGGATTAAGATCAAGTTACCTAGACCATCAAAGTCGAGATAGTTAGTTTCAGACAGTAAACGATGTTATAAAGTAAAAGTGACTATCTCATGGTCCGATCTTATGCAAACTCTTTGCACGGGACGCCCCCACTCGCATATCTTCACATGAACGAATTAGGATCACATCGTTTGTACTAGCTACA